AAGTACGAATCCCACTCGCGTAATTTTTTCATTTTTTGGTCTTTTTTTCGATGTTTTTGAGTATAACAACTTATTAAATTTAGTAGATACCTTTTGCGTTTCATATATTTTCAATGACCACGGAAGATCAGTACATGTGCTGAGTGGCTTTAAATAAATAAATAGAAAAATTCTTTTGCATCCTCTAAAGCGTTCAACACAAAATCATACTAATTTTATAACACGGAAGTTTAGATGGATGGATGTTTGTTAGAGTGCGTAGCCTAAACTGCTGAACGGATTTCGATGAAATTCGGTATAGATGTAGAGGATAGTCTGGAAGAACACATAGACTACTCTCTTTTGTTTTTTGTAACTCCACGCGGACGGAGTCGAGGGCGAAAGCTAGTTATTAAATAAATACTTCACAGTGAATGGTAATGGAGGTTATTGTGGTGCTCTTCACATGATGGAGAAGGACAGGGAATAGTATTTTTATAGAAATAATATCAAATCCCAGCAAATCCAAATAAATGAGATCCAACGTTTTCGCCTAAATGTTTTTCCATCTCAATAATGTTTAGCTTTATGCCAATTACGCGAACATGATTCTTCGCTTAGCTCTAAGTGGATTACTTTGGTAAAAACATGTTCAGCGTGTTTTTACAAACGTACCGATATTCACATAATTTTTAAACAAGAATATCAGTACTTAAATTATAATTACTAGTTTCATTAAATAAAAAATACATAGTTAAGTATGAAGCTTATGTGTTTCCCAGACTATGCTCTACCACATATCGAGATCCGTTCAATAGTTTAGACGGCAAACTCTAACAAACATCGAAATTATGACATTTGTAATATTAATGTAGTTAATACATAATTTGAGTTTAATTTCGAAAGTCAAATCTGTCTATGAAATTGCATAAAATATTTGATTTAATATATGTTTTTTGAATGTAACATTAAAAATTTATATTTTTTTATCGTCAACGTGAATTGCATGAATGTTTAAATGTTAGTTCCACGAACGTTGGAAAAGTTTTACATTTTACGGATTTAATTAATTTACCCAATGAATAAATCGTTACGAGTGAAGTTAACTGTGACAAGCTTTGAAACTTTGCTACGTTACCTTGGTTATTTTGAAAAATAATTTATTTAATAGTTACACCAATTGTTTTTTTTTACGATTCTTAATTTGGTTCATGTTTAATATATTTTTTGCTTTTGTTTTTCAAAGAAAGCCGTTTTAATATATTCACAAAAAGATTTTAAATTAAATTCCATTATCTATAAACAGAATTAAAAATAATACTAAAAAAGTAAAAAAAATATTTAGTCGCGGATGATAACATTTCATCTGACTTATTTTTTTGTTACGATTTTTTACACTTTAATATTGTTCATAAGAGAAATTTCTTCTACATTGTTATGTTGGCATCTTATTTCAGATATTTCATTAAGGCGGTCCTTTTCACAGAATATCAAATTCGAATTTGTAATAGATTTCCGCGTACCTGTCGTCCTTTGACCTAAAACAACACACGACCTTCGTAGTAAACGTGACAAGAATGCTGTATGATGTAATTTGGAAATGAGGAAATAATAAAAAATAAAAAGTAATGGGAGAATTTACAAATCTCAGACGATAGTCATTTGCTTTATAATTGTGAGCTGCTTGTGTCACAGTCAACTATTTGCTAGACAATGGAAAGCTTAGGATAAGCCTCAAGGCTTGCCTTACGCCGCGTAATTCGTTATACGAACGTAAAAACCTCCACCACCCTAAATTATGCAACCGTCATAAACCATGCGAAAATAAAATAACTCGTCACAGGCGTAAGGCATAAGAGGTAGAACATAGTCCAAGTTTTTATGTCGACACAAACGTAATTTTGACTTGACTATTTCCAAAAGATTTCAATATGTGACTTGCACCATTTCATGACACTCTATTACCGCATGACTCGCTAAGGTCAGGGTATAATGGTTCTTAAAACGCTTCATAGCGCGCAAATACAGGATGTAAACGCTTGTAACTTGCAGCATGTCGTCAGCACGTACAGTATTTCACATCGTACGTTATTAGTTTTTCTGTTTGCCGCTCGCCGTCTGAGATTTATGTCGAATAACTTCTTCACTTCGGAGTTTGTTATAAGTTAAGGTCGTTTTATGACTCGGTACTTCTGGTTTAATCTTGAGAAACTTCTTAAATATTTAAAATATTTTTTAAATAATTTTCTTAAAGAAGTTGTAAGAATGAACTAGTTACTTCAGAAAAATAAAGACAAACATTAACATAGTTTATGGCAATTAGTAAAAGGAAATAGTATTCATTGCTTTGATTTTTTTATTCGTGTTATAACACAATTACTTGTTAGTCTCTAACACATGTGTGTGTCGCAGCACTAATAACTTGAATCTGTTATGTTTAGTTACAGCCAAGTTTACAGAAATTTTTTTCAGGCACGTCTAGATCGGCTTAGCTTTTTGATCATGTCACCTTTCACGCAATCCATCCATCTCTTTCTAGATCTAACTATAGGTTGTGTGAACTAAAATATTCTTTGTTATTTTTGCATCATTACCTTTATTAAGAATTTAGCTTTAAGCTTTTATATACATGCTGTTTTAACATTTTTCTATCACATTTATTGTATTACATTTCAGTGGAATCCAATTATCAAAATTCTTTTGTCAGAAATCCCGGGGTTCATTTGAATATAGACAAGCATTCAACAAAAGCATTCCGATCTGGTTTCTGACAATGTCACGTAGATATAAATTAACGTTGAAAATATTTGCTTTATAAATATTTTATTAGCTATGACAATACGTAGGGGCTTTTGATTGAATTTGTTGAAGTTAAATCAATTTTGTTTTTAAATGTTTTCATTAAAGGGACAATGTTTGTGATTTACAATTAATCAACATCAATGGTTTTAGGTTGGTACCATTTGTATTTCAGTGTTATTTTTTAATTTACTTTTATATAAGAGAATGGGGCAAACGAGCGGTGGGAACACAGAGGTAGTCTCCGACGCCCATGGACGTTCGCAACACCAGAAGAACTGTAGATACGTTGCCATTCTTTGAGGAAATAGTAGGCTCGCTTTTTAAAGGACCCTAAGTCGTACTGGTTTGGAAATACTGCCGAGGACAGACGGTTCCACAACGCGGCTGTGCGAGGCAGAAAGTTCCGCGTAAACCGCCGGCTGTGGAATGCCAGCCATCGTCATATGTTATATTCTTCTATAGACTTCTATTTCAGTGCGGTGATTTATTACGAGGTTCTGGCATATTGACATATAATTTTCATAGCTTAGAAACGTGTACAGATGTGTAAAGTTTTGGCTAACATCTGAAAGGGATGGTAATATGTTATCAGTTCAATTTTAAAGTACATTAAAACAAGCACCTGTAAAATAACGAACGATTCTCGATGAAGATAAAATTGTAAATTTGAACAGAGCTGCGGGATTACCAGCGATCGCTTTTATATTCTCGTAAAATTGCAAAATCCGATGTCGTTAAAACAGAATAATTCAACAATTTTGTAAATATAACATTCTTCTATCTCGTTATCATTTTATTACATACAAACATAACAGACTTGTAAAGATTTGATTTTGATAGTTTTGTATAGAATAAATAGAATTATAAACAAGCATTAATAATTCTATTAACGATCTTTTTAAAATTAAGAGCAATCTTGTATAATAATACGATTCACATACTTCGCTATCGAGGACAGAGATGCCCTTAGCCATGCTGACCCAATGCTGAACAACAAATTGGTGAACGGTGGAGATTTAACAAAAGCTTGCAGATTACAGACAATCGCTTAACCCGTGAGCCAGCGTAGATGTGATCGTAGATGGGGACATCCCCAATGTATGTACATTGATTTTGAGTATTACCAAGCTATAAGAAAGTCGTACTTACATGTTGCATCATATTAGAGTCTATTTTTAGAACTCTCGTCTCAGTTTTTAACTTTATCAAAGGCTAAAGAGTTGATAGTACCAAAACCTTTCTATACGTGTGTTGTTTGGGACTATCTATGTCAAATTTCATTGAGATCCATTTAGCAGTTTAGGCTACAAATAGAAACTCTAACAAACATCCATGCATACATTAAACTTTGGCATTTGTGAGATTTCTATGATTAGTAAGTTCAAAAAGAAATTATGAGCTACCAAAACAAATTTATACTTACTAATATGAATAAGAAAGGTTTGTTTTTGTACGTTACTCAAAAACTATTTTTGATAACTGATTTATCAGTTCATGATTACAAAGTAACATACTCCATACTTTTATTCCATTTTTTAATTCTGAATTAATAAAGTCACCGTTAAAAGCTAGTCTGGTTATAAAGAATTGGTGTAGGATATTTTAAGAATATAATAATAATAATAATATAGCCTTTAATTCTGAAATTAGATTAAATATAGTGACTAAGAATATAATGGACTGTCAAAGTACTAATAATAAATTGATTATAGTACTTGTGAATAATGCGTGTTTCCCGTCAAATAACCCATCGGCTCTGGTTATCGGCATTACAGTCAAAGATTAGTTAATACTTTAACTGCGGTACCGTAAATGTTTGCTCGTATTAGATTTCTTTGTTCAACTCATAAACTTGATCTTTGGACTTGGGTTATTACTACGACTATTACGAACTATCGCAAACTTCGTAAGCGCGGAATTATAAAATTGTCGTCTATAACATTCCCCGTGCATCAGCTATCATCCTGTCAATGTCCCGCCAAAATTAGTGCAGCCGTTCCGGAGATAGCCGTCGGTCGGCATTTTCACAACGAGGAATTAAAAAAAAGCAGCCTATAATGTGTGAAACTCAAAACGTTGAAGTTATTGTTTAATGCGAGAAAAATATTTTTTTCTTCTGCGGCAGTGGAAGTGTTAGTTACCGATAAGACTGTATATGTATATGCCAGATGTTCAATTTTGCTCGACGATCCCGTTTATAAGAGCTGTGCTGATTTGCTAACAATCATTACTTGCAAGAAAATCGTTCTCACAAAATGTATCGTTTGTTGGCGTTTTTACTTTTGTACAATTTTGCTGTAGGCGACTTTCATTGTGACTTTGGTAATGATGATGATAGTGATTGTGACACAGACTCAGGATCGCACGTGCTAAATGATGAACCACTTCATGGCCTCGACTTTAAACCCACTCCTTTCTCAGGCCCCGGTCCTTTCCCAGGTCCCGGTTCTTTCCCAGGCCCCGAGCCTTCCCCAGGCCCCGAGCCTTCCCCAGGCCCCGATCCTTTCTCAGAAATCGGTCCATTCCAAGGCTCCGATTTTTTCTCAGGCCCCGGTCCTTTCCCAGGTCCCGGTTCTTTTCCAGGCCCCGAGCCTTTCCCAGGCCCCGATCCTTTCTCAGGCCCCGATCCTTTCTCAGTCCTCCCTCCTTTCCCAAGCCCCAGATTTCACCCAGGCTCCGCTGTTTTCTTAGGCCTCAGGCCTTTCCCTGGCTCCGGACCTTTCTCAGGACCATTCCCTGACTCTTGTCCTGAATATGGACCTGATGATAACCGTCCAGGAGAAAGCGACTTCGACAAGTTGGCTCGTTATGTGATCTCTGCCGACAAGCAGGTGTACAACAGTTGCAAGCAGAGCTCCTACAACCGGGTGCGCGTGCTGGCCGGCGTGTACTTGTACTCTCTCGAGTACAATCTGCAGGAGTTCGCGGAGAGCGGCATCAAGATACAGATAAAACACCGCGTTATCTCGGTAACTGCGGAGGCGCAGGGCGTGGTCACCTTCAAGGACTTGAGAATCATCCCGAAAATTGTGAATGCAATTACTGCGACCTGGTACTACGACCAAGGTACTCTAACGGTTTTAATGAATTACAAAAATCTCCAGAAAACCGAAGTCGCTTTGGATTGTACATGTAATATTAATGAATCTGTTATCGATGTCGCCAAATACGACTAATTCTGAGGACGATCTGAGAATGACACATTAAATTGTACAGCAAAAACTGCTTTGAAAAGTTTGAATTTATTCATGAAAAAAAAAATAGTCGAATGCCATTGTTAAAAATCTTAACTTGTATTTTAGCTACTTATGTGTACTTTTTTGACCAGTCATTTTCAAATTAAAACGGTTACTCCTTGATCATGTGATATTTCATTATCATAACATGTATTAAAACATTGTTTCTCCTTCAGCAAAAAGTATTTTAAAAATTCATTTACATAATTTAGTTAGTTTTAATATTATTAAGTGGTTATTAATTAAAACCTTTCATGTTCAATTTCTTGTTTTTTTATTTCATTTATTACTTTCCTACACATACTTTCCTTTCCTATACACTTTGTTGAACATTGTGTAGAAATATTAAAAAAATTGTAATTATTTCAAAATGTGAAAAGGTCTAACCTATATGAAACATACTACTACTATACAACGACTATAAAAACTATACTCTTACTAAGACCGGCAACGCATCTGTAGTTCCTACGATATTGCGGAAACCTATAGAAGAAAGATACTGTTGCTATTACAACGTATTATATTTTACATTAATACTAGCCGTTACCCACTACTTCTTCCGTATGAAATTACATATTAAAGTGCCACTTCAGGTCGTTTATATAGTTTTAATGGATTGTGTTTTTTTTTAAATATAAGGTGGCAAATGAGCAAGCGGCCACCTGAATCCACCGAAATGGAAAGCGACCGCTGCCCATAAATATCCGCAATTGCAGATGCGCTTCCTATCCTTAATTGACGGAGGAGGAGATGCACATAAAGAGGACATTCCCCCTTCATATGCGTCTTCTCCACCGTCAAATCCACGTTTACTTTCCATCCTGTCCTCTTGAGAAAAGGTTGGAAAGGAAAGGGACTAAAATTAAGCTTTTAATTTAAAATGCAAAATCTTTAAAATGTAATTAGATGTAGGTTTTGGACATTGCCCTTAATGTATAAAAACATTTTATGTATAAATTTGTAACAACAGTATTGTCATCAATCCATATTATATTTCTCCGTTTGTAAATAAATAAAAGTTGTAAGAAAATAAATGCTGCTTCTGTATGTTTTTGTATATCCCCAAAGTATGTACATTGATTTTGTGTATTACCAAGCTATAAGAAAGTCGTACTTACATGTTGCATCATATTAGAGTCTATTTTTGACCGACTTCCCAAAAGAAGGAGGTATTCAATTCGACGATATGTTTTTTTTTTATTTTTTTTTATGTGTGTTACGGCATAACTCCGCCGCTAGTGGACCGATTTTGATAATTCTTTTTTTTTTTGGAGTCTAAGACTACGACGTAGTTAAATAGTTCAGCTCAAAATCGCGCGACGAAATTTCGGGTCATTTTTGCTTTCTTTGCTTACGTAGCCTAAACTATAAGACTTACATAAAAATGATGTATGGAAGAATTGTAGCCCTTTAAATTTGCTAAATAAAAGTCAGCAATAGCATATATCTATCTATTAAGGTTGTCGCTCAATAACCACTTTTTCATTAAAATATCGCTCGAAATCTACACCTCACTTTCAACGCTATTACTCGTGTTCGGTATGAATCCTTCTCCAAATAAATGTGTCTGTCATCAAGAGAATTTAATGTAGATTATAAATGCCGTTGAAACTGTGTAATTCCGATTAATAGTTTAGGAGATATCATAAACAGCAAATTACGAGTCGCAGAAAAAAATACCAACTTGGAACAAAGTTTGCTTTCTTGGCTTACATAGCCTAAACTATAAGATCTACATAAAAATGACATATGAAAGAATTGTAGTTCATTTAATAAGCTATATTAAAGTCCGCGATAGCGTATATCTATCTCTTAAGGTTGTCGCACAATAATCGTTCGTTTCGCGAAAACCGTCAAATAAATGCAATCGACTTCATTTAAAACGCTTTTATTCTTATTTGGTATGAAGGATTCATATCCAAATAAATATGTTATCTCGATAGAGTATTAAATGTAGATCATATATGCCTTTTACAGTATGTAATTCTGACCAAGATTCTAGAAGTTATCAAAATATTAAAACTCACGGGCAACAGCGGCGCGCGGCCGCACAGAATTATGAGTAAATGATCGCAACGATGTATTAGTTCTTTACTAATTTCTTAGATAACCGATTTAGATAAGTCATTCTTTGTTTGAAAGCTAGTGATTATCATACTACGTTGTTTAGATTCACTAAAAATAGAGAAATAAACAAACTTTTTAATAAAAAAACAAAACCGTCTTCCAAACAAAATACACTAAAAACAAAATATTCTCAAAAAAAACAGTACACTAAAAAGTAACAAAACAATTCCTTGAAAATAGTAAACCTACCTTATTGTAACTGTTATATCTATATTGTAAAATTGTTATAACTTTGAAGTCGGTGTCAGTCAATGTAGATTCATTACTTAATCGTTACTATACTTTTAATTGTCAATTGTTAGGGTAAAAATGTGGAAACCCTTACGTAGAAATATCACTGCATACCTTGACTGACACAGATATCAAAGTAATAATAATTGTACAATATAGATATAACAGTTACAATAAGGTAGGTTTACTATTTTCAAGGAACTATTTCATTACTTTTTAGTGTACTGTTTTTTTTGAGAATATTTTGTTTTTAGTGTATTTTGTTTGGAAGTCGGTTTTGTTTTTTTTTAGAGCATTTAATTTCATTTTTTATATGTTTATGAAACGTTTAAAACGAAATTATGCACTACCAAAACAAATTTATACTTACTAATATGAAGAAGAAAGATTTGTTTTTGTACGTTACTCAAAAAGTATTTCTGATAACTGATTTATCTGTGTTGAAATAATTATAATGTAGAAGAAAAAACGATGTTACTCCAATTTAATATTTATTTTATTTGTGTAAAAAAAAAACATAGTCATCCTTGACAAAAACATTATGACAGAATATTTTTGATTAAAAAAACACAGAAATTTCAAGGAGTATTTCAACAATCTGTTCATGATTACTAAGTAACATACTCCTTGTTTTTACTCCATTTTTAATTCTGAATTGATAAATTCACCGTTAAAAGCTAGTCTGGTTCTAAAGAAGTGGTGTAGGATATGTTAAGAATATAATGGACTGTCAAAGTACTAACATTAAATTGATAGTACTTGTGAATAATACGTGTTTCCCGTCAAAAAACCCAACGGCTCTGGTTATCGGCGGTACAGTCAAAGATCAGTTAATACTTTAACTGCGGTACGGTAAATGTTTGCTCGTATTAGATTTCTTTGTTCAACTCATAAACTCTTGATCTTTGGACTTGGGGTTATTATATTATTTACAAACTGTCGCAAACTTCGTTAGCGCGGAATTATAAAATTTGTCGTCTATAACATTCCCGCGTGCATCACCTACCATTTCCCTATGTGTCAATTCAGTTGAAGTTATTGTTTAATGAGAGATTTTTTTTCTGCGGCAGCAGTGGAAGTGTTATTTACTGATAAGACTGTATACGTAAATAACAGATGTTATGTTTTGCTCGACAACCCCATTTATAAGAGCTGTACTGATTTACTAACAATCATTTCTTGCAAGAAAATCGTTCTCACAAAATGTATCGTTTATTGGCGTTTTTACTTTTGTCCAACTTTGTTGTAGGCCATTTTCATTATGACTTTAGTAATGAGGATGACACTGATTGTGACTCGGACTCAGGATCGCACGAGCTGAATGATGGACCATTTCATGGCCTCGACTTTGGACCCGGTCCTTTCCCAGGCCCCGGTCCTTTCTCAGGCCCCGGTCCTTTCCCAGGCCCCGGTCCTTTCTCAGGCCCCGGTCCTTTCTCAGGCCCCGGTCCTTTCCCAGGCCCCGGTCCTTTTCCAGGCCCCGGACCTTTGCCAGGCCCTGGACCTTTCTCTGGTCCCGGACCTTTCCATGGACCCGGACCTTTCCCTGGCCCTGGACCTTTCCCTGGCCCCGGACCTTTCCCTGGCCCCGGACCTTTCCCTGGTCCTGGATCTTTCCCTGGCCCCGTGCCTTTCCCTGGGTCTTGTCCTGACCATGGTCCTGATGATAACCGTCCAGAAGAAAGCGACTTTGACAAGCTGGCTCGTTATGTGATCTCTGCCGACAGGCAGGTATACTACAGTTGTAAGCAGAGCTCCTACAGCCGGGTGCGCGTGCTGGCCGGAGTGGACTCGTACTCTCTCAAGTACAATCTGCAGGAGTTCGCGGAGAGCGGCATCAAGGTACAGATAAAACACCGCGTTATCTCGATAACTGCGGAGGCGCAGGGCGTGGCCACCTTCAAGGACTTGAGAATCATCCCGGAAATTGTGAATGCAAATACTGCGACCTGGTTCTACGAGCAAGGTACTCTAACTGTTTTAATGAATTACAAAAATCCCCTGAAAACCGAAGTCGCTTTGGATTGTACAAGTAATATTAATGAATCTGTTATCGATGTCGCCAAATCGACGAATTCTGAGGACGATCTGAGAATGACACATTAAATTGTGCAGCAAAAACTTCTTTGAAAAGTTTGAATTTATTCATGAAAAAAAAAATAGTCTCAAATGCCATTGTTAAATGTCTTAATTTGTACTTTAAAATAACACTTAGCTACTTATGTGTACTTTTTTGACCAGTCATTTTTAAATTAAAACGGTTACTCCTTGATCATGTGATATTTCATTATCATAACATGTATTAAAACATTGTTTCTCTTGCAGCAAAAAGTATTTTAAAAATTCATTGACATAATTTAGTTAGTTTTAATATTATTAAGTGGTTATTAATTAAAACCTTTCATCTTCAATTTCTTGTTTTTTATTTCATTTATTACTTTCCTACACACACTTTCCTTTCCTATACACTTTGTTGAACATTGTGTAGAAATATTAAAAAAATTGTAATTATTTCAAAATGTGAAAAGGTCTAAACTATATGAAACTTACTACTATAAAAACTATACACAGACCGGCAACGCATCTGTAGTTCCTACGATATTGAGGAAACCTATAGAAGAAAAATACTGTTGCTCGTTCAACCTATTATTATATTCTACATTAACACTAGCCGTTACCCACTACTTCCTCCGTATGAAATTACATATTAAAATCCAGGTCCAGGCTCCAGGTCGTTTATGTATGAACGAGTTAGCAGTGGAAGTCCACGCTTGCATACATACAAGTCGAAAACAATACATATTATGTCACTAGTTTCCGCCCGAAACTTCTGTTGTATTGTTGTGTTAAGGCGGATATACTAATTTTCACAATCTTTGTGTTTTGTCTATCAGTTTTCAATGATAAAACAGAGATTAAAATAAAAAGTAACTAACTTAGAGATTATTTAAAACTAGTTTTTGGCCGTGACTCCGTCCGCGCGCAACCTATACTATTATAATAAAGCGTAAACACACACTTCATTTCTGCCTAAGATTGACGTCTTATTTTTGAATAATTATTTTTTTAATAAAAAGCCCTACACTTACGTCACGCTTTAGGCAATATGTTTTCATGCCATTAAACTTAGGAGCAAATGATTTGGGTAAAAACCCTAATGTGGGAAAGAGACCATAAGTTGCTGCCAACATCAAGGAAGCAAAATTGCCATAGTAGGGTAATTGGTACTTTGACATTTGAAATTAAGAATTTGACAAATACAAGCAATAAAATAATGTTTTTATAATTCCACGCGGATGAAGCCGCACGGGAAAAGCTAGTTAAAAATAAACTTAGTAAGTAGCCTATGTGTTCTTCCAGGATTTGTTCTAGATCTATGCCAAATTTCATCGAGATCCGTTTAGCCGTTATGGCTACAAACCTTAAAAAACATTCGTTCAAAATTTGGCTTTAATAATTCCAGTAAGAAAGAGGTAAGATTCACAAGTTCAAATATTTAAATAATTGGTATTTTCTGTTGGGCTGACCTATTTACCGACCGGTGGACCCATGTTTTTCGCATTTGGCTGATCGAATTCATACATTCAACAGACCTAATAGGAAAAAAAAATCTCAATGGGTCGATCGCTTAGTGGCGATCACCTCAAAAGAAGACATACTGCGTTGAAACAGTATATGTTTTACTTCAAAAAACCCATTCACCTTAGTATCAGTGCCGGTTAAAGGTCAGTTAAGTCCCTGATAAGTCTACATAAACACACATTGAAACGCTCGACAATCTTCTTTATAAGCGTTGTACTAGTTCGCTAATAATCAATTTATGTGAAGTCGTTCAGACGAAATGTATCGTTTGTTTGCTTTTTTGCTTTTGTTAAATATGGCTTTTGGCCATTTTCATCATGACTTTGACTTTCATCATGGGGATGACGACGATTGTGATTCTGATGACTCGGGTCCGGATTCAGGTGAATTCCCTAATGGACACGGACCTCATCATTGGCCCGGACCTCACCATGGGCCTGGACCTCACCATGGGCCTGGACCTCACCATTGGCCTGGACCTCACCATGAGCCCGGACATCAACATGGTCCCGGATGGGGACACCCGTGGCATGAGCATCGTCAGGAAAGTGACTTCGACAAGCTGGCTCGTCATGTGATCTCTGCCGACAAGCAGGTGTACGACAGTTGCAAGCAGAGCTCCTACAGCCGGGTGCGCGTGCTGGCCGGAGTGGACTTGTACTCTCTCAAGTACAATCTGCAGGAGTTCGCGGAGAGCGGCATCAAGGTGCAGATAAAACACCGCGTCATCTCGGTAACTGCAGAGGCGCAGGGTGTGGCCACCTTCAAGGACTTGAGAATCATCCCGGAAATTGTGAATGCAACTACCGCGACCTGGTTCTACGAGCAAGGTACTCTAACTGTTTTAATGAATTACAAAAATCCCCTGAAAACCGAAGTCGCTTTGGGTTGTACAAGTAATATCAATGAATCTGTTATCGATGTCGCCAAATCGACGAATTCTGAGGACAATCTGAGAATTTCATCTTAAATTTTACACAAAAAACAGCTTCGAAACATTTATTCGTGAAAAATGTGTGGTTGAATGTTTTAATTTGTATTTTGAAATAAAAAAATCTACTTGTATACTCTTTCATTGTATAGTTATTGATAAAACAAAGAAAAGTGGTCTTTGTTCATTGTGATTTGTGATTATTGCCTTTTACTATCACAACTTGTATTAAAACATTTGATGTGCCAGTTTGAAGATAATGACAAATATAGATTTTTACAAGTGTTTCTACGGTGCAAGTAGCGTTTACATATTTGTGTAAATATTCCGCCCTTCTGTACTCATATGTGAAGATGACTTGTACGTTGGTCACGTGCAATAAATCAGGGCAGCGTAGCGCAGCCGGCGCGCCTGTTGCCACGCAACAGTTGTTCTGCGTACGTGATTAGCTTGCAGCGACGAACACATAGGTGGTATAACATACTAGCTTATAGCTAGAATCCGTCTTCGTGGAATTTAAATTTTGTATCGCGCCTGATTCTCTTTACCTAGATAAATAAAATACAAATTATCCATCAAAAATTGCATTAACAAACAGATTAGAACTGACAGATTTAGTAAGTGAAATATGCACAAATGCAAATTCATAATTGTCTGCACAAGAGTGATTATCACGAATTTGAAGATATGTTGACAATAAAAAAGGGGCGTCCTCATTTATCTGCAATCTGTTTTAAAATTTTAACCGAGTTCTTTGAACAATTACGCCACAGAATTGTCCACTAACTGCTGTAACTGATTTATGTCCCTTTTTCACGGTTAACAAAGACTTTTTATCCAGTTTTACTCTAAAAGGATCGGAAATGTCGGTAAATTTTAAATAGTGCATTTATAATATGCAAAAACTCGAATTTTCAACGTGATACAAATCAAATACAAACCTGCATAGCCCGATAACTTAAATTAATAATTATGGCCTGAGTTATTCAGTTATAAAGAAGCTATTTATTCGTGAACGAATCTTTGAAATCGGCCCAGAAGTTTTTGACTTTTCTCAAGACATACAGAAAAACATGTCTATTTGTGATAGATCCAAACAATTGCAGTACCGGTGAGAACCGGCCTAGATATCAAAGTTGAATGTAAATTTAAACAGTAGTTTGGAAAATCACTTAAGATCCGCTCGGTAAGTTAATTACCAATTTTAGAACATTAACATTGCCATGCTTGCTTAGTTGGGAAATTGTTGGCTTTTATCAGCATGATAAGATAATAAAAGCTAACACTTCAAGTAGAGTCCAGTAATCATGTTGTTCGAAGAAACGGCGAGATTATCCTGAGTACATGCTAATATAAAGAGAAGATGTTCTGAAGTATAAAAAAAAATATATTCAGATAAATGAATTATTAAAATATGCTACAGTAATAAATTAAAAAGGCACATAGTTAGCAATCATAAATAAAAAGCCGGAGTAAAAGCAAAAACTCTATTCCAATAATGTTGGCCGATATCCAATGCTCATTTCTCTCCACAAAGCCTTTATAGGTTAAATAAGTATATATTTATACTAGAATTGAATTTATTCACGTCGTTTATTTTACATTTTCAATAAGAAATTTGTTTCGAAATTGTATCATTATAAAACTATCGAATTTATAAAACATCGTAGTTAAGAATTATGTTAAGAAGAAAATTAATACCGAGCTGTAGAATTGGCACAACACTAGAGTGTTGGCATAAACGTCACATCTCTAACTGACAGCTGTCAATGTCATTAGAAGAATAGATGTTATGCGCGCATTCCTGGCGATCACTCTAGTTCAGTGTTTAAATTAATATCGATAGTAACAATTGTATTAAATGTTTTAAAAATAATAAAAGCAACGAATTATGTTAATTGTCATCGAATAGGAAAATAATTTTCTTCCTCAATTACATTTACTTGAATAACTCAATTATATTATTGATAAAAGAGTTGGTTTTTCAACTCTGCAGAAACGTCGATTATTTCTTTCGCTGATGGCGTTTGCAATTTTTTTCGTTTGACGTTTCAGATATCAGCGTAAACCAGACCACATTAATACGTGACCATTCCTTAGCATTTTGTATCGATAAATTATTCATTTCTTTTACAAATGATTTCAATAAAAATACAATGATTGCGAGAAAAGACATCTTGTAGAATCCCAGGCATAACTGTTTTCATGTCCAAACTATAATCATCAATCACTATTCTAAGCAAATTATGACCATCCAAAATTTAGCGGAAAACTTTTGTTTAAAATCTGTTTAGAACTTAGGTATTAGTAATTTAGGATACAGACCGCTTATAATATTGTAATCATCATCATCAATCATCCCTTTTGTTCAGTTAGATGTGTTTGTGTTCTTGTGTGGCACCGTAAGGAGAGGTCATCCAAAATATTTTTTTTTACATTGCTTTATATCTTGATTAAGATATCGGTTGATAGAAAATGTTCATATATAACGTGATTATATTGGTGTAAAGATAAAAAAATATAAAAGAAAAAAAAATAATTTTTAAAAAATAATTATCAAAAATCTGTTACATAAACTGTCTCTATTTAACCCTCCTTCCCATATATGAATGTTATTTTAAAAATAACATGTTGCTATGTTAACAACGTCGCCAGTTTGTAAAATATATATTGCAAATAAGTTTGCTCTCGGTTTCTAAATGCGTATTTCACATTCATGTTTCTCCGCACTTCAAGTTGAAAATCGTTCGTAAAAACTATAATTTGCATAATTTGGATAAAACGCTGTACGTTCGTCGAAATGTTACAGTTTGAGCGTTTTTTGAAATGTTTAAATTTACCATTTTTGTATGTGGATTATTAAAAAAAACTGCACATTCGTATCGATTTCATTAAAACTAATTTTGCCTTAACACGTATTTGTAAAAATGTTCACGAAAATCTGAACACACATCTTATGTTCTAAACGATTTATTTTTCATATTTAAATATAAGGTGATATTTCCTGACACATCGGTCTCTGGAAGCAGTACTTTCTTCAGTGTTCGGCCTAAGTTTCTTCTGTTAGTCAACACATTGAAGGTGTGTTGCGCTTCTACCTAACAAAATTAATCTATAATTTATCGGCATCCGCGTGTCCGTATTGACTTCAATAAAACTGCAATATGGCTTTGCAGCACCGTTTTATGCCGCGGCATCGCCGGAACAGATGTTGCGAATTGCACGGAATAAAACTACAACAGATGCCGCGAACTTTACAAAACACAACTAGAATTTTTCACACCACGTTGCAATTGATTACAAACTTTTTTATCTATTTCACTAACTGTCTAGAATTGTTATAGCAATAAATGGGAGTAACAAAACTTTGTAGAGTTATTTAAGTTAAGTATTCACTATTTTAGTAACAATTTTAAGATATTCCTTATTTCACATACATTTAAAAATGTCATATCTATTTATTCGGTACAGGCAAACTGTGATACATTTTTTATAGCTTATTTTTTAAACACTGTTGTAACAGCTGTATCAAATTGCAGTGCTTTAAAAAAGTAAACAGCTTTGAAAGAATATATCGCAGAATGCATAACTATACGAAACAGAAAGGTTTAAATTATAGTTAATATTAGATAACATAATATAGATACTTGATGCTGAAAACATTCATTTTATTCACTTATTAAAACTTTAGTGATCCTTACTAATTAGAAATCAGGTTTCATCTCGTGTTTGGTTTCAGACTAGTTTCAGACCCGGCGGACACCCTAAGGTGAGTGGTTTGACGTTACGTTACATAGACTAACCAGTAGCAGTAACTTGTAGTACTAGACATGTTTCATAATTGTTCAGTTAAACACTTACGCATCATAAAATGTATAAAGCAAACCCATTAAAAGTAAAGTATCCAGCAATATTCAAAATAAGTAGCGAGTGAGGTACGGTCGGTACAGTAATGCACCGCAGTGTAATTTCCGTTGCGCTATCGTAAATAAAATCTATGAAATGACATTTATAACATTCCAGTATGAACCGGTTCAAACCGACCTCGGCCGGATATTATCGATGACAAAAATTAAACGAATTTAAATTATGCAGTAAAAAGTCTTACTTAATGGAGAAACAAAGTACATCTACTAATGTTATAAAGAGGAAAGATTTGTATTTTTGTATTTATTTGATTCACGTAAAAAATTATTGCACTCGGACGAATTCGCAAGCAACAGCTAGTATGGTTATAATAGGGATGGGGACAAGTGAATATCGATTCGCCAAATATTAATTAATCCGTTGCAAATATATGTCCGTAACATCGGAAAAACAGATGTATTAAAATCATATTGTATTTATTTATCTAAAGTAATATATTTGAATTACATTTCTTTCATTTTTTTACGTTTAATTTACATTATCGTCACAACAACGTCTCAGTTCAGATGTAATTTCCTTTAAAAGTTATTTATGTTCTCTCTTAGCGTACTTCAACTTACAATAAGTCTCACGTACCGTACATTAGTTTGCTTAAAAAGATGTCTTACATTTCAAAAAATATTTAGTCCGGTTTATTTCCTAATGCTTTCATAATTTTATTTGCGTTATAATTTTTTTATATAAAACCAAATAATACATTTATAATCAAATTGTTTGTACATAAATTCAATTGTCACCGTGTGATCGCGATTTCCGCCGGTTTGTAAATTGCCCAGGTTAAAAGACATGTAAAATTCCAGTGAAATTAATCACTAAGTGAAGATCTATTTACACAAATTAGCTATTCAATAGAACATTGACCATCAATACTTTGAAATTCAACGCGGATTGTAGAGATAAAAAAGTGGTAGTGACAGGCGCGGGCTGGGCGCTGTAATTACCGCTTCGGTCGGAACTTTCGCGGCCAGAGATGGTTTTTGTTTCATTCCAGTTTCCTAACTACTGTCCGAAACAATGTTCAATTTACATATCACTGGATACATAGTAAATATTGATAAAAAATAATCAAAAAAGTTTTTAAATAAATGTGTTATTAGTAGCTCTGAATGTTAGCCTGTGATATCGTCGTGTCATACTTAATATAATAAAACACTAATTCGTGGCGTAGGATGTCAGCAAATACAGCATTTTTTTTAAAATAATACACTCTTTCATAA